TACCTTGCACATGTACTTGTATACCTTGTACATGTACTTGTATACCTTGTACATGTACTTGTATACCTTGTACATGTACTTGTATACCTTGTACATGTTTACCTGGAGACCTGGAGTTTACCTGGAGAGAGTTTCGGGGGTCAACGCCCCCGCGGCCCGGTCTGTGACCAGGCCTCCTGGTGGATCAGCCCCTGATCAACCAGGCTGTTGCTGCTGGCTGCACGCAAACCAACGTACGAGCCACAGCCCGGCTGATCAGGAACTGACTTTAGGTGCTTGTCCAGTGCCAGCTTGAAGACTGCCAGGGGTCTGTTGGTAATCCCCCTTATGTGTGCTGGGAGGCAGTTGAACAGTCTCGGGCCCCTGACACTTATTGTATGGTCTCTTAACGTGCTAGTGACACCCCTGCTTTTCATTGGGGGGGTGGTGCATCGTCTGCCAAGTCTTTTGCTTTCGTAGTGAGTGATTTTCGTGTGCAAGTTCGGTACTAGTCCCTCTAGGATTTTCCAGGTGTATATAATCATGTATCTCTCCCTCCTGCGTTCCAGGGAATACAGGTTTAGAAACCTCAAGCGCTCCCAGTAATTGAGGTGTTTTATCTCCGTTATGCACGCCGTGAAAGTTATCTGTACATTTTCTAGGTACTTGCATACCTTGTACATGTACTTGTATACCTTGTACATGTACTTGCATACCTTGTACATGTACTTGTATACCTTGTACATGTACCTGTATACCTTGTACATGTACTTGTATACCTTGTACATGTACTTGCATACCTTGTACATGTACTTGTATACCTTGTACATGTACTTGCATACCTTGTACATGTACTTGCATACCTTGTACATGTACTTGTATACCTTGTACATGTACTTGCATACCTTGTACATGTACTTGCATACCTTGTACATGTACTTGCATACCTTGTACATGTACTTGCATACCTTGTACATGTACTTGCATACCTTGTACATGTACTTGCATACCTTGTACATGTACTTGCATACCTTGTACATGTACTTGTATACCTTGTACATGTACTTGCATACCTTGTACATGTACTTGTATACCTTGTACATGTACTTGCATACCTTGTACATGTACTTGCATACCTTGTACATGTACTTGCATACCTTGTACATGTACTTGTATACCTTGTACATGTACTTATATACCTTGTACATGTACTTGTATACCTTGTACATGTACTTGTATACCTTGTACATGTACTTGTATACCTTGTACATGTACTTGTATACCTTGTACATGTACTTGCATACCTTGTACATGTACTTGTATACCTTGTACATGTACTTGTATACCTTGTACATGTACTTGCATACCTTGTACATGTACTTGTATACCTTGTACATGTACTTGTATACCTTGTACATGTACTTGTATACCTTGTACATATACTTGTATACCTTGTACATGTACTTGCATACCTTGTACATGTACTTGTATACCTTGTACATGTACTTGTATACCTTGTACATGTACTTGCATACCTTGTACATGTACTTGTATACCTTGTACATGTACTTGTATACCTTGTACATGTACTTGTATACCTTGTACATGTACTTGTATGCCTTGTACATGTTTACCTGGAGTTTACCTGGAGAGAGTTCCGGGGGTCAACGCCCCCGCGGCCCGGTCTGTGACCAGGCCTCCTGGTGGATCAGAGCCTGATCAACCAGGCTGTTGCTGCTGGCTGCACGCAAACCAACGTACCAACGTGTTGCTGAAGAAAATATCAGGATTAATTTCACGTTAATTCTCACACATCAATTTTGTTCAGTCTTTGTAACCTGGGTGATCAGGTAATTTACCAGGTCAGGTCAGGGACCTGGCCACGGGGGCGCTGACCCCCGGAAAACCCTCCAGATAGGCTCCATGATCCCTGGGATCTATCTGCTCACTAGCCTCAAGATTTCCATGAACCTCTGGACATTTTTGAGGTGTGGGATGGACACTGGTGCTTCATACTCAGTGGTTAGCCTGGATTACCTGGAGGATATTCCGGGGATCAACGCCCCCGCGGCCCGGTCCATGACCAACCTGACTCGGGCCATTAACTAGTTAATGGTCTAAGTCGGACCGAAACATCATAAATGTCTTTCTACTATGTACGAGTTATTTGTGAAAAATTGATGGTTATTAGAGTAGTATTAATGGTTGGTAGAGTAGTATTAATGGTTGGGAGTAGTATTACTGGTTGGTAGAGTAGTATTAATGGTTGGTAGAGTAGTATTAATGGTTGGTAGAGTAGTATTAATGGTTGGTAGAGTAGTATTAATGGTTGGTAGAGTAGTATTCATGGTTGGTAGAGTAGTATTAATAGTTGGTAGAGTAGTATTAATGGTTGGTAGAATAGAATTAATGGTTGGTAGATTAGAATTAATGGTTGGTAGAGTGTATTAATGGTTGGTAGAGTAGTATTAATGGTTGGTAGAGATAGTATTAATGGTTGGTAGAATAGAATTAATGGTTGGTAGATTAGAATTAATGGTTGGTAGAGTAGTATTAATGGTTGGTAGAGTAGTATTAATGGTTGGTAGAATAGAATTAATGGTTGGTAGATTAGAATTAATGGTTGGTAGAGTAGTATTAATGGTTGGTAGAGTAGTATTAATGGTTGGTAGAATAGAATTAATGGTTGGTAGATTAGAATTAATGGTTGGTAGAGTAGTATTAATGGTTGGTAGAGTAGCATTAATGGTTGGTAGAGTAGTATTAATGGTTGGTAGAGTAGTATTAATGGTTGGTAGAGTAGTATTAATGGTTGGTAGAATAGAATTAATGGTTGGTAGATTAGAATTAATGGTTGGTAGAGTAGTATTAATGGTTGGTAGAGTAGTATTAATAGTTGGTAGAGTAGTATTAATGGTTGGTATAGTATTAATGGTTGGTAGAGTAGTATTAATGGTTGGTAGAGTAGTATTAATGATTGTAGAGTAGTATTAATGGTTGGTATAGAGTAGTATTAATGGTTGGTAGAGTAGTATTAATGGTTGGTAGAGTAGTATTAATGGTTGGTAGAGTAGTATTAATGGTTGGTAGAGTAGTATTAATGATTGGTAGAGTAGTATTAATGGTTGGTAGAGTAGTATTAATGGTTGGTAGAGTAGTATTAATGATTGGTAGAGTAGTATTAATGGTTGGTAGAGTAGTATTAATGGTTGGTAGATTAGAATTAATGGTTGGTAGAGTAGTATTAATGGTTGGTAGAGTAGTATTAATGATTGGTAGAGTAGTATTAATGGTTGGTAGAGTAGTATTAATGGTTGGTAGAGTAGTATTAATGGTTGGTAGAGTAGTATTAATGGTTGGTAGAATAGAATTAATGGTTGGCAGATTAGAATTAATGGTTGGTAGAGTAGTATTAATGGTTGGTAGAGTAGTATTAATGGTTGGTAGAGTAGTATTAATGGTTGGTAGAGTAGTATTAATGGTTGGTAGATTAGAATTTATGGTTGGTAGAGTAGTATTAATGGTTGGTAGATTAGTATTAATGGTTGGTAGATTAGAATTAATGGTTGGTAGATTAGAATTAATGGTTGGTAGAGTAGTATTAATGGTTGGTAGAGTAGTATTAATGGTTGGTAGATTAGAATTAATGGTTGGTAGAATAGAATTAATGGTTGGTAGAGTAGTATTAATGGTTGGTAGAGTAGTATTAATGGTTGGTAAATTAGAATTAATGGTTGGTAGATTAGAATTAATGGTTGGTAGAGTAGTATTAATGGTTGGTAGAGTAGTATTAATGGTTGGTAGATTAGAATTAATGGTTGGTAGAATAGAATTAATGGTTGGTAGAGTAGTATTAATGGTTGGTAGATTAGAATTAATGGTTGGTAGATTAGAATTAATGGTTGGTAGAGTAGTATTAATGGTTGGTAGAGTAGTATTAATGGTTGGTAGATTAGAATTAATGGTTGGTAGAGTAGTATTAATGGTTGGTAGAATAGAATTAATGGTTGGTAGAGTAGTATTAATGGTTGGTAGATTAGAATTAATGGTTGGTAGAGTAGTATTAATGGTTGGTAGATTAGAATTAATGGTTGGTAGAGTAGTATTAATGGTTGGTAGAGTAGTATTAATGGTTGGTAAAATAGAATTAAAGGCTGGTAGAGTAGAAGTAATAGTTGATTGGGTTGAATTAACGGCTTATGGAGCAGAAATTATGGTCGTCAGAGCAGAAATAATAGTTGATGCAACGGAATTCTAACAGAGCAGAATAATGGGTATGGCTTCAGACTGATGATTAATGGAGCAGAATAATGGTCGCGCTTGGGAACCCATCAGAAAACTCAGTCATTCTGGCTGGCTAGGAGGGCGTGACCCATCACAAAAATTCCATTGAACGATGCTACTGGTGAGGCCAGGGCCTCAGACTACTCCACAGTCGTGTTTTCTTGGTGTTTTACACTTTATCTATATCTTCTGGTATTATGGAGATACTTGGGAATGTTTTTTAATATATTTTTTTTGAGAACTGCCTGACATTGTTGATGTTCTTTTCCCCTAGGGCAGCCCTGCGGCGCCATCCCATCCTTGCCAGACACACGACTACTTATTTTATTTATTTATTCGATTATGCCATTGAATACTGCTGGTTATTTTGAGACTTAGGGTGAAAATTAAAGCTTATAGTATCATGAGACCCACTCGTAGTACGCGAAGAGTTATATATTTTGAGGTAATGTACAGAGGACGTGTGGCTGCGCTGCTATAGATCAATGGAGATGCACCAAAACACCTGTACGATAACTACACATACCTCACCCCTTTCTCCCGAGTAATGTCATTCTTACCATTACTTTATCTCGGGATAAGTTCGTTAAAAACAATGCTCCTAAGTCCGATTTGCCATCAATATGTCTGAAATCCAAGTAATTTTCGCCCTTCGTGTGAATTTGTGATGGTGTACGAGAGTTTGCGCGGTGCCGGGACACAACACTCGGTGATCTTGGGAAACAGTTGCACGTTGATCACGTGGCGGGATGGATGCTGCTCACTCATCTCGTGATTTCGTGACACTAATTGTTGATTAACATAATTAAAAGTTGCAAATACGTGCTAACTTGGGAGCGTGTGATAATCTGTCATTCTCGTGTTAAGGAGATCATGATCGAGGGAAAGGTGAAGCTGTGAAGACAGGTGGGGGAGAGGACTCGGGAGAATTTAAACTAATGAAAGTGAATGTACAGAGAGAAATAGAGCTGGAACAGCTGTTAGTAGAGCTGCAACAGCTGTTAGTAGAGCTGCAACAGCTGTTAGTAGAGCTGCAACAGCTGTTCGTAGAGTAGGAACAGGTGTGAGGGTCAAGGAGAGTATCACTCAGCATCCACAACACCAGCCTATGGTGGGCGGCTCCCCCTTTCCCTCCCTCTCCCCCCTTCCCCTCTCCGGTGCCACAACCTTTCATTGATGATTAAGAGGCGAGGACCGGGAGCTGGAGCTCCACCTCTGCAGGCACAAGTGAGTACACACTTGGTGGGGCCAGGAGCTGAGTCTCGATCCCCACAAGCAAACCTCAGCGACTGCACATGCACAAAACAAATGTTAACCCCAACAAATGCAGTTATGCAGTGGGAAGGGAAGAGAAGACCGGAAACGGAGTATAGAATTGGGGGACAGACCGCAAACTTCTGTGTCATGTTACCAGAAGCTCACATCAACCGAACAATTTCTGAAGATAACGCTCGTCTGGTAAATCTAAGATTGATAAGATAAGATATATTTTAATTTTTAACTCGGAGGGATAATCCAATAAAGCCAGTACATCATTGAGGACGTTCCCCAGGATGCGACCCACACCAGTCGACTAACACCCGGGTATCTACTTACTACTAGGTGAACAAGGACATCACTCGTGCCGGGGATTGAACCACGGACACTCATTATGTGAAGCGAGTGGCTTTCAGGAATCTCAAAGTCATTCCGGGTCCATAGGTCATGCCCATCTTTGAGTACGCAGTACCAGTATGGAACCCACATCTGAGGATGCAAAAATATGCTACGAGGCTGTTCCTGAGTTAAGGAGGAGAAAAGTAACAAAATTTAATCTAACGACATTGGAGGACAAGAAGAAGCAGGGGAGACATGACAACAACATATAAAATACTCAGGGGAATTGATAAGGTTTAGATTGAGAGGGAAGAAACGGTAACTCAGGGATACTGCTGAAGTTAAAGTCACAGACGAGTCACAGGGATGTTAGGAAGTATTTTTTTAGTCTCAGAGTGGTCGGGAAGTGGAATAATTTTAGTGAAGTGGTGGAAGCATACCAAACATGGCTTTAAGAGCAGGTACGATAATAAGACCCAACGAGGCTAAGAGGGAGTGAATCTGAAGAATGACAAGAGACAGGCGATTTGGGAGTCGACCCCAGCAACCACACACAGTCATCCTACACTAGCATACTTGTAGGTATGATACCTGTACCTGCCATCTTACACTACCACGGGCAATACCTGTCATACTACACTACCCCGAGGAATACCTTCCATCCTACACTGCCACGGGCAACACCTGTCATCCTATACTACTATGGGCAATACCTACCATCCTACACTACCACGGGCAACACCTGTCATCCTAATCTACTACTGGCAATACCTGCCATCCTATACTACTACGGGCAACACTTGTCATCCTATACTACCACGAGCAATACCTGCCATCCTACACTACCACGGGCAACACCTGTCATCCTATACTACTATGGACAATACCTGCCATCCTACATTACCACGGGCAACACCTGTCATCCTATACTACTATGGGCAATACCTGCCATCCTACACTACCACGGGCAACACCTGTCATCCTATACTACTACGGGCAATACCTGTCATCCTATACTACTACGGGCAATACTTGCCATCCTATTCTACCACGAGCAATACCTGCCACCCCACACTACCACGGGCAACACCTATCCTACATTAGCATACTTGTCAGTAATACCTGCTATCCTACACTAGCATACTTGCAGGTAGTACCTGCCATCCTACACTACCTACTTATGGATAATACCTGCCATCTTATACTACAATACTTGTCGGTAATACCTACCATCCTACACAGTCTACAGTAGGTTCGCAAACACTTAAGAGTTAAGAGCGAGATTCAGGAACCTAGGCACTTGGAAAATCTTGGAAGGAATGGTCCCAAATCTGCACACAGAAATCACTCACTACGAAAGTAAAAGACTGGGCAGGCGATGCAAAATGCCCCCAATAAAAAGTAGGGGCGCCATTGGTACACTAAGGGAAAACACCATAAGTGTCCGGGGCCCAAAACTGTTCAACAGCCTCCCATCAAGCATTAGGGGAATTGCCAATAAACCCCTGGCTGCCTTCAAGAGAGAGCTGGACAGATACCTAAAGTCAGTGCCGGATCAGCCGGGCTGTGGCTCGTACGTTGGACTGCGTGCGGCCAGCAGTAACAGCCTAGTTGATCAGGCCCTGATCCATCGGGAGGCCTGGTCATGGACCGGGCCGCGGGGGCGTTGATCCCCGGAATAACCTCCAGGTAGGCGGAAACTCGTCAAAATTGATAAACAGGAGCTACTCGATTGATGTGGCTGGCATCCTGGGGAAGAGTACCACAGGACAAGGAAATGCGTCCTTTATGGGGCTACCCTGGATTATAATCTTTTAGACTTAATAATTCGAAGAATTATTCTTCATCTGTATGGAACCCCTCTCCTGGAGAGAGAGGGGTGGGAGAGGTAATTGTGAGAAAGCAGTGAGTACCCCCAGGCTGGTACGCGAGTTGAGTGGAATGTGCTCTGAAAAATACCAGAGGTAGATCTGTCACTAGATGTAATGAGAACAAGAGGGAACTTGATCATGATATACGAAATACTCAGTGACATATACATACAAATACAACTTTATTTGAACATTGTACATTGTTTATACAGAAATGGCTGAACATCAAAATGGTATACAATACCGACAGGTTGTTAGGTAAGACACATATGCAACAGTTAGGTAACTTTATTCTGAAACGTTTCGCCTACACAGTAGGCTTCTTCAGTCGAATACAGAAAGTAGGCAGGAATAGTAGAGATGTGAAGACGATGTAATCATTCCATCACCATTGAAGTCGTAGAATTTAAGGTTGTCAGTCCCTCAGCCTGGAGAAGTTCAGTTCCATAGATAGTTCCTGACTATGGAACTGAACTGCTCCAGGCTGAGGGACTGACAACCTCAAATTCTACGACTTCAAGGGTGATGGAATGATTACATCGTCTTCACATCTCTACTGTTCCTGCCTACTTTCTGTATTCGACTGAAGAAGCCTACTGTGTAGGCGAAACGTTTCAGAATAAAGTTACCTAACTGTTGCATATGTGTCTTACCTAACAGAAATGAATGACTTTTTTAGGGCATGTTGAAAACCCATAGTGATGCAGAGATTTCGGGATAGGCTCTTTAAGAAACTTTATTTAGGCATAGGTACACATAAGTACAATTCATACATAGTTAATGTGTAAATTACTTAGGTTAATTCAAAGAAAGTCAGACAAAGTGACTTATTTCCATTGGTGTCATTTACTAGGATACTCCGTCCATTATTAGACCAACACTGTTTTTTTTTTTTTGTTTTTTTTTTATTCACCGGTATTCTCCCGGCCCGGGTCTTTTTTTTTTTTATTATTACCTCATCCTCTAGGCGTTATTTGTACAGGTTTAACGCTTCCTCGTGAATATAAAAATTTTACAAGGAAGCCACAAAACAAGAGGATATGGTCAGAGATCACACATGTAAACGAGCCACAGAAATATACAAGTTTTCATCAACGTAAGAGTAGTATAGAAGTTGAATGAACTGAATAATAACACAGTGAAAGCGGACTACATACAGGAGTTCAGTGATAGATATTACAGCTATGTCACGTGTTGGTGGAAAGTTAAGAGGCAGTACCAATAGTTTTACCTCTTCCCTCCCTAATCCCTCCTCCCCCAGAAACTAATATATATATATATATATATAATATAATATTATAATATATATATATATATATATATATATATATATATATATATTATATATATATATATATATATATATATAATATATATATATATATATGTCGTGCCGAATATGTAAAAACTGGTCAATTAGCAAGAACTCATTTAAAATAAGTCTTTTTCTAAAATTTTCTCTTATACGTTTAAAGATATATTTTTTTCATTAATGATAATGTAAAAATTTATAATTTTGCAACAAAAGAAACTTAGAAAACTTACCTAACCTTATTATAACAAGCGCAATTTATTTTAGCCTAACCCAACTAAATATATTTTAAATACTTTTACAGTAATTTAATACTAAACAAACACAATGAAATATATTTTTTTCGTTAGGTTTAGAATGATTTTTGCGAAATTATTGCATACACAAATTTTAGCTTGTCCTATATGGCAAGATGAGCGTTGCTATTTAAGCCAAGATCGCAAGTTCTGCTTATTCGGCACGACATATATTATATAATATATATATATATATATATATATATATATATATAATAATATTATATATATATATATATATATACTTCTACTTACATTAGTCACACTACACATACATGTACACATTTAATTTATACACACTCATCTGAGTTTCTTTGATTTTATCTTAATAGTTCTTGGTCTTATTAATTTTCCTTTTATATCCATGGGGAAGTGGAATAAAATCTTTCCTCCGTAAGCCATGCGTGTTGTAAAAGTCAACTAAAATGCCGGGAACAATGGGCTAGAACCCTTTTCCTGTAAAGATACTAAAAAGAATAAGAAGAAGAAAATGTCAAAGTGGGAAAGTCTGAATGTGCGTGGATGTTGTGCAGATGATAAGAAAGAGATGATTGTGGATGTTATGAATGAGAAGAAGCTGGATGTCTGGCTTTAAGTGAAACAAAGCTGAAGGGGGTGGGAGAGTTTCAGTGAGAGGAATAAATGGATTTAGGTCAGAGGGGTTTCAATAGAGTTAGAGCTAAAGAAGAGTAGCAATAATGTTGAAGGATAAGCTATGGCAGGAAAAGAGGGACTTAAATTATTAATTCAAGATTATGTGGAGTAAAATAAAGATTGGATGTGAAAAGTGGGTTATAATAAGCGTGTATGCACTGGAGAAGAGAGAAGTGTAGAGGAGAGAGAGAGATTTTGGGAAATGTTGAGTGAATGCGGGGGGAGTTTTGAATAAAGTGTGGAGTATGGGGTTGGGGTTTTTAAAATGCTAAAGGGGGGTAAAAAGTTTTTGGAGGGAGTGTAGGAAAATTTTTGGGGTGCCGGGGGTAAATGTAAATGGGGAGCCTTTAATTGACTATGTGTAGAAAAAAAATTTGGTAATAAGTATACATTTTTAGAAAAAGGGATAATAAATAAAAAGGGTTTGAGTAGCACGTAAGAAATTTGTTTTTTTAGATTATGTATTGGGGAAAAAAGGTTGTGGGTAGGCCCAGGTTA